AAACGACTAATTAATTTTTCCACCAATTCTATTATTTTGAGTTGTTCATCTATATCAATCAACGGCGGCCCTTGATTTGGAATATTAAACTTTTTTATATAATCATATAATAGAAACCGTAATAAGCGAAAGATCAATTTTAGTTTTTCTATGTATTTACATTTGACCAAATTGGTAACCAATTCTAATATATATTGATAGTTAGCTTCAATGGCTGAATAATTATTGTATGCTTTTGAGTTGTCTATCATTTTGTTCTTATCACTGACCGTATTATCTTTACTAACAAGACATTCAAATAAATTTTCTACTGTATGCTTGTGGTCCTTTAAGCTATTAGTCGTAACAGAGAGACCAAAAAATCTTTTCCATGAATCATTAAACGCTAATATATTATTGAGTCTATTTATAAGTACCACTTTTTGTGTTTGTGTTGATTTCTCTAATCCTCCTGAACAATTATTTTCACGGAAGAATAATAATATTGTAATTATTCTAAGTAAATGATTTGAATAATCCATGTAGAAATAATCTAATTTATGATGAGTGTCGGATTTCTTATTACTTTTTAAAATTAAAATGTATGAAAACCAAAAAACATTCAATGTAAAAGTTTTTTTTATTAAAGAAATTATTTTAAAATAAAATAATATCGTCATAAAATTATTTTTGGTATTGACTTTGAAAATTCTATATTATTTTAGTAAGTCGTCGTAATGTATATTTATAAATTGCTTTTGAGATCAAATATGTACAAGTTACTAATTTTTAATTATAAATGTTTAATTTTTAATTTTTCCAACAATGTAATTTAAGTAAACTTACGTTAATTTTTAACGTAAGTTAAAATTGCGTTAACTACGCAATTAACAATATAATTATTTATCCAATAATTTTCCATGTAAAATTTAATATTATTAATATATTATTAATTTAATATTGTCAAACACAATACAGACAATAAAGTATATCTCATTTAATAAATATTTGCATATATGAAATATTTAAAAAAACGATATACGCATATGTATTAATGTGAATATTTTAAAATGTAATAGAACAGTCAAATAAAACTAAATATTGTTTATTGATTTCACGTGGTTTTTCAGTGTTAACTATCATCATTAAAAGTGTTTCCATGCTAATCTAATAATTTTTTTATTTTAAAGTAAAAAAACTTATAGAAAAAATAACCTTGGCATTTTAAATTTTTTTTATAATTATAAAATAATCATAAAAAACTTTAATTTGATATTGTTAGTATATCTAACATCTCGGAACGTTTTTTTTCTATCCAATTAGATAGAACGCGTAATACAAAACGATGTTCCTACTGATGTCCACAATGTTAACCCCTTCGAAGCGTGATAGAATTTTCTTTTTAAATACTATAAAATTGTTGGGATTACCGCCTATGTAACTACATCACGCTCAGAAAATATTTTCATTAGATATTTGGTATTTTATAATGTTAGACTTAGGAAGATATTGTTGGATTTAACATAAGCTCATATTATTTGAATGGAGTGATTAAAGTAGACAGGATAAGGAACGAACATATAAGAGGGAGTATAGGTGTAGCGTCAATTGCATACAAGATTAAAGAAAATAGACTTAGATGGTTCGGTCATGTTATGAAGAGATAGGAATCGGAAGCTGTAAAAACAATTACAGAAATGAATGTTGAAGGTAGAAAAGGTAGACGAAGACCAAAAATGAGATGGAGGAATGTTATTGAATGTCATATGAAGACGGCTGATGTAAGCGTAGATGATGTGGGAGATTGTGTCAAGTGGAAGTTTAGGTTAAGGGTGGCCGACCCCAAGTAGTTGAGATTAAGGCGAGGATAAAGAAGCTAGATTATTTGAATTCAGACGAATTTTCTTATATGCTTAACTCTAACGATTAAAAAATTATGCGAATAATTTGATACTATAAGTTTGACTGCGAGGCGGACATACTAAAGGCGGTATTGAAAATTAATTATGTCAAAATGGAAGTCAACGCGATATTGTGTTATCCATAAACAACACTCAATTATAAAACTAGAAAATACAAATAAAATTTATAAAATGACCAAAGTTAAACATTATTCTGTAATTGTATTCAAGATATTGTATTTTTATAGGTTTTCAAGAAAACTTTTACCAATAATATATTTCCAATACTATGCTTAGCTTTATCATTTTATGTCGTGTACGCGTTGAGGTTTGCAAGTCGGAGAAATTGTCTAGGCACACGTTTGGGAGCTTTGTAGTGATCTTAAAAGTTGTTGTATTGGTCCCTCGCGGTAGTCATTCTAATTTCGAATTCCATACCTATTTGCTCTATTACCGCCGTTGGGTAAGTCCATTAAACAGATCCATTAAGAAAACGTTCAATTGTTTGCAGCCTAGTGTACGTTGATATGATAATATTATGACGATTCACCAGACAATATAGCCCATGGGAAATCGTATTCGTTTGTAGGCGAAACAAAACAAACGCTTCTATAAAAATGGTAAATGTATTTCATTTTGTTTTTCGAGTGAGCTTACAGAATAAATTCGATAAACATTGCTGCGATATTAAACTTTTATCCCATCCCCATAAATCATCTGTAATTCTATCTTTATCCTATTATATCGCTAGTAAAACATAAAGGGACACAAAAAACAATGGGCATGCAAGTATTGGTTTTTACAAATAAAAATACTCGAATATAATTTCTTTTTTTTTTTATCATAAATATTTTCTTAAGAAAAGAAATTGAATAATCAATAAAACAACAATAGTTTTGGCCCAGTCATTTTTGTACGTGAAATGTATTACTTATTGTTTGTAATTGCCACTTCAATAAAGCATATTTTGTTATGACGGAAAAAAACATGAATTTTAAAATTATTTTGAAAATGCATATTTGCTTTATTTCAATCACTGTGCTGTGCAAAAATTTCGTGATCGTTAGACATAAACTTTACGCATAACTTTATATCCAGAGAGGATAAAACTTTTTTTTTGTCATCAATCATATATCAAAAATATAATATATGATAGTATTGGTTTTATTTTAGATAAAAATTGGATCGACTAATAAAAAAATTCTATTAATTTAACAAAACTATTGTTGGATGTATATTGAAAATTTTTTTTTATTATAGTAAGGAGTTTTTACAGTGTATATTCAGTGTTTATTTTTTTTTTTAACTAATTTTTGAAGATAACATATTTTTCAGGAGGTACAACTAAATAAAGTAAATATGTTATTTTTTAACGAATAAAATGATTGCTGTAATTATAGTATGACTATATTTCTTATTTTTTTTCAATAATAAATAAATTACTAAACTATAATATTAATTACCTTATTTCATTTTTATTGTAATATTATTTTCAACTCAAAAAGTACCATATACAGAAGAAAAATCTAAAATATAGCGTGTTGTATGTTTAAATATAATTAAAAAAAATTTTTGGACCTGTCGTAAATATTTATCTTGTTAATAGTTGGCTAATCTCGATGAATGTTAATGCTGATGTTCGGTGTGGCACAAAAACAATATCAAATATTTTTTTTTCAGCGATAATTGGAGTAGGTAGATGTAATCATGGCAACGGGTAATTTTTTATAAATTTACTGAAAAAATAACGCTGTTATGTATACTCTGTTGGATTAAAATTATAGTAATTGCTTTTTAATTTCTGCGTCTGATCAATAAATTAATATTTAAATGGTACAAGCCGTTACGGTTTAAACATTTTAAATGCTCAATTTATGCTAATGTTAGCATGTTTTTGTGTCTTAACATTATTTTTATTAATAATTGTCCACACCTCGATGGGTGTGTAGGTATTGCAAAAGTTTGAATACTATCTAATAGACACGCGATTGACTCGGCACCGAGTGGAAAATGCGCCCTAGGCGCTAATTATCTTTTGATTTATAGCAGCCGTTCATGCGCCGCATTTATCAGCAAACTATTTATCGCGATATTGTCTGTTTGATTTTGAGCTGTTCTCTTGTTTTACGGGTTTACGAGGAAACTGAAAAACCATCTTTGCTGTAGTTTTCCCTGAGAATTAGCATAATAATTATTTTCATTGAAACGACGCGTTTTAAAGATCCAAATTTCTCAAAATTATGCATAAAGTTTTAATAGTTTTTAAAATAATTCGTTGCTGGGCTGACGTGCATTAACACAAAGTTCAGAGTTCAGGTCAGGAGGCCAAAATCGTGATAGTCATAAAACACGTTGTACGCGTATGTGTACACTTAATTTCGTTATAATAATGTTATCGGCAGTCGTCCGCCTATTGATCGGCAGCACCATGTCAAACGGCACACAGAATTCAGTCAAAGTCTTATAAATTAAGTGGGCGTCGCTGAAATCGCGTCTGACAAATAAGCTGATGAATTCGATTTTTCGACACAATAAAATTTTTACTCGTTACATCTGAGGATTTTAATTGTACGGCACATGTACATTTCGACATGAGTACAAGAGCAGATTTTGATTACTACACGCGATCAATAAATTATTTTTGTTTAATGAAAATAAATTTGTGTACCGGAGCGAACACAATATACAAGTGTATTGCCTTGAATTAGGTAAAAACGATTTTGGGGCTTCGGGGCTTAGCATATGAACAATATTACCTACTGAGTTTACGCGTTAAAATCGTTTGACCTTAAAGGTATTCACTGATAGCCAATTACGCTTTGTGTTAAAGGGTAGATTCCGTTCGTTTTAATGAAAAATAACATTTCCTCTTCCAATTTAATATCTGATTTTTATTTGTTTAGTGTTTATTGGCTAAGTAAAGAAACTATGATTGCATTTGGTAATTTTATGTGAATACTGTGTAGCTATGCTTTTTTCGCGGTTAGTATTTGTTCACATGTTTAGTATTTAAGAACAGTTGAGAGAACACGATCTAAAATGAGGTTTAAAGATATACACTAAGATAATTGTTAAGTAAATAATTCCAAAATGTAATATATATATATATTTTTTCGACAGATATCGACGCTAGTGGCGCATCGGGAGCGGCCGTTCTGTACGGAGCGGACGGCCAGAGCTATTGCCAGGGTAGGACAAGGAGTGAATCTGGCCATCGAACGGTTCGTGACAGTTGGCGAAACCATTGCGGACGACAACCCGGAGATAAAAGCTGACATGTATCAAGCGTGCAAGGAAGCCAGAGCGGCAGGTGAGCAGCTGTCACTGTATATGTGTGCCCGACCACTTTGACCAATAATATCTGAAGCTTTGGTGTTTTGCGGTATAGCAAATGTTTAACTTGTCACGCCACCGCGTTTAGATACCGTGTCCGATTCATACCTGTCCGTCTTAGTTCCCGAGGTCGTTTAAATTAATTTTCTGTGACGCTCAATGACGGCCATTTACCGCAGTTCAACGCATACCGTTCGGACATTTTACCCTCAATCTCATACGAAAAGGACATGGACGTTCTGACTATGACAAAGGTCTTTTTAACGCAATTTAAATCGTGTACATTATGAGTATTGTATTTTTATTCTGGCCTTCCGACGTTTAACGTGTAAATCCTGTTTCTAACGTCTACCAATATCCGGCAAAAGCAGGTCAACCCCATCCGATGGTGGATAGTCCGAAGTTTTCGAGTTGATTCACAGGCTGATTTATCGTCCTGGCATACCTGTGCCGTTACGTTAGAGTCTACAGTCCCTGGAGTTTTGTACGCGATATGAACGTGACGCATTAGACACAAAATGTGCACACGGTCTGAGTCTCATTTATCCGTTTCCTGTTCTCTTCTAAAGTTCCAACGCAGTAAATCCCTATAGTTTACATACTTCACATCGGAAATCCCTACAGTCTGTGGCGTACAGAGAATTGACGTATAAAATAAGCTGACCTAGAGACGGCCTACTTTTCTTCTAATTGTATTCAGTTTTAACGGTACATTTCGGTTCCTGGCACCACAAACGTTGAAGCATTGTCCACAGTTTATTTATTCAAAGTTTTTTGTTGACTCTGCTAGCCGAATTTTATTTCAAAGACCTAAATTATATTGAGAAATAAATTTCGATTTAGATGAAAATTTTAAATGTTTATTTATATGCGAATATTTACTATATATTTTCAAATACTAGAAATAATAAAAAAAAAAAAAATTGCAAAACACGATCCGACAACATTGTCTTTGTGTCAATTAAATGTAAAAATAACGTGTTTTTTTAATTAATGAAATCATGCGAAGTATTTACAACTATTTTGAAGTCATTTTTATTAATTAAAAAAATATTTAACGAAAAAAAAATCAATTTACACTCAACAGAAAATTAAATTATATAATACAATCATTTAATAAATAAATACACTAATTGTTTAACTAGTTATACTTAATATGTATCAATTAAAAAATATATAATGTTTTTTTAATTTATTTGAACTTGATAATTTTAAAGTTTAACATAATTGTTGGTTGTAGTTAAACATTTTGTCCTTGTTCATTAAAAAAATATTAAGTTCTATGAATAATTACTTTTTCTTGGTATAAAAATGTAACAAGAGGAAACACTTAAAATGCTAATGAAAGCTTAAAAAATAATTCATTTATTCAGTGGGAAGAAAGTCCAGAATATCTTAATTTCATGTTTAAATATACTAAGCCAAGTATATTTTTTTAAAATAGATTTTTTTTGTCATTAATCGTGTATTTTTTTATTCATAAAGTATATTGTGTAAATTCAAAATAAATATGTTTATCATTAATGACTTCAAAAGTAAATATTTATGTTCAAACAGTTTTAGTAGTATAAAATTCCATGTATCCTCAAATAATTTTTTAATTATACGTATACATAATATCCATAAAAGCTTGTGTATTTATGTAAGAATCCTTTTACATCATACTATGATGTATGAATATATTATATTCATTACATAACAATGTTAATCAAGTTAATTACAGTAAAAAGTAACAAGATTAATCAAAATAATTTCAAGTACTTGTTACATTATATTAATGTTATTGTTATATTTTGCTTTTATGTTTATGTTCATCTATGTTAGAAATTGTTTATACTTCTAATATACTTACTAATATTATAAGCAAAGTATACATCTCTAGGCATATTTATGAAATTTTATAGGTATAGCAAACCAATCAGTTTATAATTAAAGCAGAAAAATATAATTCTTATTAAAATTTTATTACATGAATCTTTTACAATAAATTTTCATTTTCAGTATTTGTATACGACTACATTTTTGTATTTATTATAAAAAATACAATAATTATCTTATATGGATCTTATTTATTATTCACTTTCATTGAATATGAACATATAGAGTTTAAATAATCAATTTCATTTCGATATCAGCATTTTGCACTGCTTTTAGTTTGATTTTACACTACATTCACCAACAAAATAATAACGGTAAAATTATGCCTATGTATATTTAACTATAGAGAAAACTCCGCAAAATCGATAGTGAACAAATCGTGTAGTACAGGCGACTTTCATGCTAATAAAACGCCATAGTTTGTTTTACTATCATTAACGTATGATCGACATAAAACATGCTGAAAAATATTGACTTTGTTGTTATTTCCATGGCTTATCTATTCTCAGTTAACTTATTTTATGATAAATTAAGTGATTAATTAGTATTGTCACTTTAAAGTAATTTTTTAATATAATTATTTTTTATTACAAGCTTTTTTTATGTGTTATTTAATGTCTGTCTTGGCTTTATATCAAATCAACTTTTTTGTTATAATTTAAATGACTTTCATCATATTTTTATCGTTAATGCATGTAGAAAAATAGAGATAGCTAAACTAAAATTTTATTTGATTTACTTTTATTATGAAAGAACTAGTTAACCATTTAAAAGATTCAAAGCTGACATTTCATCTATAAAATTGATTAAAAAAAATATATTTTAGTTGTGTTAAAAATAAGCCATGAGTTAGAACCTTAATATAGCTGAATAATTTATGTTTATTTTAATTGTTATCAATATTATCACCACAGTGAATTTTTATTATATAATTTAAATGTTCAAATTCCTTTTAAAAAAAATTCAATATTTGTAATATACTGTACGGGTATTCAAAACTATTACTTTTTTCCTCACACGTGTCTTATATTTGTTTTATAAAAATGGTTTTAAGTTCATATATTTGAATACTATAATATTTTTTCATTACATTGATTATTGTTTATAAATTTTCGCAAGTCGTTAAATTCAAAACTATGGGGTGTTACAAATGGAGTAAAAAAAGCAACATTTATTTGTTAAGAATGTTGAAGATAGGGGTTAGCATAAAAGAAATAATGGGTATTGATTTATGTTATCCTAATAAATAACGGTTGGGCGATTTTGGGTTTTATTTTCTAGAATTTATATGACACACTTACTAATAAATACCTCTCAAAAGAATTAGCATTTATTCAACTTGTATTCATCTAAAATTATTAATTTAAATACAATTTCTAGATGGAAAGACATATGTGAAAATGTCTATAATTGTATAAATTAGTAAGTTCATGTTTAACCCTTTTATATTAATTTATATATTTATAATTATAAAACTTAAATAAATCTAGTTTTAAATAGATTTTTAACTCTAAAATTGTAATTTATTGTTTGTTTTTTTTTTTAAGGAGCTTCAATTGAGAAATTGTGCGAAGCAGTATTTGAAGATTCAATCAATGATCGAGCTGCAGTGATTCGAGCTGCCCGGTGTCTATTAAGTTCAGTTACCAGAGTTTTATTATTAGCTGATGTAGTTGTTGTTAAACAATTAATTCTAGTGAAAGACAAGGTATGTATAAAATGCATTTAAAAAATAAAATTTTCTCTACAAATTAAAATAAATGTGTTCTAAGAAATGACTCATTCTGTAATAAATTATTAGTTTGAACAAAAATAAATAATAACATAATCAATTTTTTATATTTTATAATTGAAAGATATAAATTATAACGACTTGATGATTTATTTATGGCTTTCACACTGAAATAGAATTTTGCTGTATTTCGCTCAATGAACTTCAATGGTATTACGTTTATATATATTTGTTTCAGGTATCACGAAGTCTAGGTCGTTTAGAAGGCGTGAACAGTTTTACGGAATTTGTCAAAGCTTTCAGTCACTTTGGTACTGAAATGGTCGAATTAGCACATTTGACTGGGGACCGGCAAAATGATATGAAGGACGAGCGACGACGATCCCAGATGGCCGCAGCTCGACAAGTTCTGGAGCGGTCTACGATGTTGCTATTGACCTCGTCCAAAGTATACAAATTATATACCTGACTTGATGCTATTTTAGCCCAATTACGTCATGAGTTTTTTCCTCGCGCGTTTAGGCTTGTCTCAGGCATCCGGACAGCTCGGAAGTTAGCCAAAACCGAGATACGGTTTTTTGCCAAATGCGCAGGGCTATGGATCTGATACATTATGTTGTTAAAGACGGCGTGTGGGAAGGAGGTGGCGAGCCAATGTCTCTGGCACCGTACACGTCGCAACAAGACGGTGGTGACACACTTGGCCACGCACTCAACGTACTGGACTCATTTGTCGATATGACGAGGTAAACATTTGGCGAGAACTGAATTATATTTGTGTTCAAAACAAAAAGTATCATTTTTCTTAAATTTAGGAATTAATAAAAATGAAGTTATTGAACAAATTGTCTATAACTTCATATCTTACAATTCCTTAGTAACAACTCTTTAGAAATTCCCTTGTAATCAATTCAGTTAGAATACAACAATTTTAATTATAGCTTTAAAAAACAATTGTTCGTACAAAGCTATTTGTATAGCCTGTTTTTCAAGATACCTCAAATTATAATGTAATGTGTACATGATAATTTGATAACATATTACGATTGTTTAATTAAGAAGTCAATTAAGATTTAAGACGACCTACCTAGCTTAGTTCATAACGTGCCATGTATACAGATGTTCAGTAAGTAAGGAAACGGATCAGTTGTTACAAACAATAAGAACAATAGAAACCCGTTTCCTTACTGACTGAACACTCTATAGAAATGTCATAATTAAAATTATTACTCATTTTTATTGTGATCCAGTTTAATCAAATTAAACTAGACCATTCTGGGACAGCCAAAATGCCCTTTATTTTGTATTTTTCAATTCTTTTAAAAAGTACTTTTTTTAACTATAAAATTGTTTGCCTAAAATTTTTCACTTTTTTGAGAGTCAAAATTTTTTATGCTAAACGATTTTTTTATTATTAGTAATTAGTTTTGTTATATTTGACAAAGATTATGAAAATATATGAATAATATTTGTTTTAGGCTTACATTAGTATTAGGTGAAAAAGAAACATTGCTACGTACTATGGATATGATCATGGAACGCACACAAGATTTTACTGACAGTGCGTATACTAGACACGAACACAGGGAAAATATATTAACATTGTGTGACCGCGTGAAAACTCATTTAGATCAATTAATCAGAGCTGGAGCAAGATTAGTAAGTTTCTTTGTATTTTATTTTTTATATACTATACTTCTATGAATATGCTTATAAAAACTGTGCATATCGATACAATAGACGCAATCGTTTCGACTTGAACCAATAGAGACTTTGTCTGATTGATACTGCGAAATAAAATTCAAAAAACTACGGTTAGAAAACTTTAAAAAGATAATAATAAATATTTACTACGGTTTAATTCAAATTAAATTCAAATGATTTTGATGTTATTTTGATATTTATTTTCTTCACCACAATTTCGTTTATTATATAAGAAATGCATTTTTATTCTTTATTTATATTGATAATCTCTGATATTAAAATTACATTAATAATGTATTTGCACTGAAAAGTAATCTTAAATAAATTATTTGAAATGTAATCTTATATTAATAAGTTTTCAAATAACCAACATTGATTAGAGCGGTAATCTTAGCTAAAATTTAATAGAGTCAATATAGTGTTCATAATGAAGGATTATATTTTGGATGTAGAGGAGGGCATTAATACTACGATTAAATATATATTCAATGAGGCAACAAGTACGATACGATGTGTTTATATTATACCTATATTCCCTGCAGCTTTCACTGTACAATAGTTGGATGGTGAGATACGATGGATGTTGATGTTTATATGCACATAAATCGAATGAGAACTATTTAATGAAAACGAATCACTTCGATTTTAGATTAATTGTGCGACTACATGTGATTGTATTGTTGTTCATTAATCAAAACAAGAAACGATAGAAACAATGTGTAGATAATAAATCGATAAAACTACATGTCCTTGCATACCATTACGGAAGTCGGTCAAACAAAAAATTAATTATAATAAAATTGCTACCAATGATCAATAGAATGTTTTACCTGGAGTATATTAACGTACCATCAACAATTTTTGTGCAGAGTTAGTTCAATGGTTGAGCATGTTTGATAATCTATTTTTATATACAGAGTGATTTTTTTATCATAACCCACTCAATTACTCACCGAATAATAATAAAATTATCTAAAAAAATTTGTTTTAATTAATTTTTATCCTATAAGTAATTGAGCGGGTTATGGTAAAAAAATCACTCTGTATACATCTCTTTTGAAATTTAAAATCTATACAGTTCGAGGTAAATATCATTGAGTAATTTCTGATGAAATCCTTTTGTATGGACACATATTACATTTGAAAGATTGTAAATAAAATATTTTATTATACTGTTAAATTAAGTAGTATAAAATAAATCTGTAAACACTCGTTGTAATACAGACGTGTATAAATGACTATTAAAATACAGAGTAAATAGAAATAATTCTCTGAAAAGTTGAAGTTATCTAATGAATGACATAAATCTAGTTAGAACAACAAGCCTTAAAAACTCTAGTGCGATGCTATAACTATAAAATCATATCAGAAAACATTAAAAAACTTAATCGACCAATACAGGACTAAATTCGCACGGTTTTAATGTTTGATTTAATTTTTTATGTGTCATAAAGATCATTTAATCTCCATATACTTTCAAATTTAATACTTTCCGTCTTTTAGTCACGTTCTTATTAAAATAGCTCATCTTAGTCAATAAAAGTAAAATCAAGACTACATTTATATTAAAAGCAATGTCATTTGACTTGGGCTCATAATTATACGGATAGAAATTACAAATATTCTGAATAATGTTAGTAAGACTTAAAAGAAATGATGTCTTATGATTTAAAATATTTTAAATGTGTTTAATAAATATATGGTGGGTATTTATTAATTTAGTACACCCATATAGTCATAGTCGTACTAGGTAATTTTTAATTTTATACTTCTCAGACTCGTATAATCACACAAAAAATAAAATATTATATCATACAAAAAAAATCTAGTAAATTAGTGTGAAACGACAATATTAATAGCATAAATATTTAAATACCAATATAGTAGGTTTTACTAGTAAGTCTATATTTATATTTATACAAATATCAAGATTTAAGTAAAAAAGATTGATGGAATCGATCTTATCGTATGTTTTAATCACTATAAAATATTACATTTGTTTCATGCTTTTACTCAGTTTTATTTGAAAATAATTTTTTAGTAAATAAATTTAACAAATGTTTAGTTTTTAAGTACAAAAATACAAAAGATAAAATATAATAATACAAGTTAAAATATTTAATACAAAATGTTGTGTAAAATTATATGAAAATAATATTACTTTCAACTTTGCATTTATAACACTGATTTTATATTTGAAAATTAGTTACACAAATATAACTATTTTATAAATATTAAACTTCTAGGAACAATGTGATGAATATTCACCAACCAAATCATTAGAAGTGGCTGTTAATCAATGTTTAGATGCAACTAAGGAACTTAGAAATCAACTAATAGCAACTTGTAAAGAACAATCCCATGATCTACCTTTGATAATAAGAACCGGGTATGATTTAGTTACTTGTATTCAAACAACATCTTCTGATGGTGATGTTGACGGTCTTAACAAATATGGTGATCAATTTGTGGAAGTAATTGATCAAATAGGAGAAGTATGATTAGACATTTTATTGATTTTAATACATTTATATTTTTTTTACTTAAATTTTGATATTGTTTTAGATATGTAAAGTATTGAGACATATAGCCACATCAGAAGCTGTTCAAGTGTCTGCTAAACACGCAGAAATTAATTTAAGAGTTTATGCACCTCAAATCGTTACTGCAGCTCAAGCATTGGTTAGATATCCTTGTTCAAATATTTTTAAAGAAAATCTCGAAGGTAACTAAAGCTTTTTAAATGTAATAATTGTTTTTAATAATTTTTTTATGTTTTAGTGTTTGCGGACATGTGGCAGGCCCTGACTGAAGATGTTTCTTCGGTTTGTAAAGAAATAATGGAAAAACAGTTACCAGAAAAACAAACGTACATGTCACTTCCTAGACCAGGAGTATGTAATTTCCCCTTGAATTTTTTAGTTTATGATCATAAACAATTTTTATGTAAATAATATTTAATGTTCATAAATTTTCTATAGAAACATGGCACAACAAATAAACCTCTGAAGTCGGTTAGACTAGATTTAACTGTAAGTAGTAATTATTATAATTTAATTATAAGAAAAGAAACTTGATAATAAATTATTTATTTATTCGAAAATTAAAAACTCAACCTATGAAAGTTGTTTTTATGGTTTATTATTAATATCAAATTAATTTATTATATTTAAGGAACAAAATCAAATCGCCAAAGCCGGTTTAGAAATGAAATTGGCATCTAGTGAAGTAGAAGCTGAAGCTGATAGATGGGGTGCTGGTGATGAAGATGATGGCACCAACGATGAAGGTGCAAGTGTAGACGAAAGAGGCAATTCGTCTAAAGCGCATGAAGATAACGACATAGTTCGTAGGGCGAAAAATATGTCTGGTATGGCATTGAGCATGTATGAGTTCACAAAAGGCGAAGGTGGTTCATCATTACGCACTACACAAGACTTGTTTACGCAGGCAGAGTATTTGGCTGAAGAAGCAAATCGTCTATACAAATTGGTTCGGCAGTTCTCATATCAGGTTTTTAAATGTCGATTTTAACTAATTATAGAAATTAGGATATGCTTAATTTAGAATTGTATGATTAAATATGGACATATAGAGCCTTTTTTTTTTGTGCTATAAAACTAAACAATATCGTGGAAGCCATGTATAAGTGTAAAATAACGTTCTACATAAATGATTAGTCAAATAAAAAATGTGTTTGAATTTGTATTCATAAATAAATGCTGAGAAATTTCAATATAGCATAAGATTATTCATATCCTTCATTGTTAATCTATTTCATGTTAACCTATACAGGTGCCTATGGGAGCCAACAAAAAAGAGCTACTCGAACAACTAGATCAAGTACCAACGTATGTACAGCAGTTGCAGTTTACTGTGAAAATGCCTACTGTGGGTAAATCAGCTACGTTCACTAAGGTAGACAGTGTAATAAATGAAACAAAAACACTAATGAATGTTATATCAAAAGTTGTTACAACTTGCTTTGTTTGTGCAACAAAGGTAAATTTGAAAATAATGTTTTAATTATTCTCGATTACTTTTAATTACAATATTTCTAAACATGTAAATAATTTCACGCAAATTTTTAATTGAACTGTAAAATAGAAAATAAAGAGCGTGTTCTTAATTTAGAAAACCATGAATTTGTGATTCAAGTGGTCGACACAATTGAAAATTTTAGATTTGCTATTATTTTAATATAATACTATTCTCGTTGAAGAATCAGATTTTTAATTCATGGTTTTATCAATTGTTCAAAATAACTTATTAATGAAAATTAATTTTTTTAGTATAACTTAGACTTCCAAGGATTATCAACAAGAAGTGGTGGCTATGGAGATCGTGGTGAGGATGGTAGTGGTGGTGGATCTGGCGGTGAAGGTGGAAAAATGAGTGGGGGATCAGGCTCGGATGGATCCATGTGACAGTTCGGAATGGGACGGAGGAGTAAGGGAGACGGCCGCCGCACACGTGTGTCGTTTCTACTCTTCTGAGCCCGTGTTTTGACGTAAAGCACAAACTCTTAAAACTACGATTTTAAAAAAGAAGTTTAAGCAAAAACCTCAATCTTGTGTGTATGAAAATGACACTATTAGAACATCCGGATTATCGAGTTCCCGGATATATCACGCTCAATATGTATAAGTAAAACGTCATAAATTACGTATAATTGTTAAGTAAACAATCATTTACCATATAGATAGATAATTACCAAAATGCTTTTAAAACTAAAACAATAATCTTAAGTTAATGACAACATAAGAAATGTTACGATAAATATTTCCGTTATAATTCTATAAAATTATAATAACTCACAATCTGTAATGTGTAATAAATATTTATAATATTTATTATTATAAAATTATATAATACAATTATTTATAGTTATTATAAATTAATTTAAAGCTTAATAATAGACAATCAAATATTAAGTGGCTTAGAATTACCTAAATGGAATATAATATCAGTAGATTTATCAAACTGTAAAACTAAAATGTATCATATTTTTAATATCAAAATTTTCCATTGTTTAATGCAATAATAGCAATACATAACATTAAGTAAACTTAACAGCTCTATGAATATTTGTTTGGCGTTGGGTTAATTTTTCTTATTTCTATGCTTTTTTGATAGAACTTAATAAGCATACAAATTAATACACTGCATTCAATTTTGTAATTTTATACTCATAGATTTCCTTTATATGATTAAAATGTTTGAAAATGTTCATGATTTACATTAGCTTCATATATCATATAAATAATTTCTATAGCCATCGTAATATATTAATAAAAAGTATAATTTATCAACATTTGAATGGTTAATTAAAGATCCAAAAATATACGAAATAATATTAAAAGGTTTCGAGTTAATTTTAAAATAATAAAACGTCCGTCTTCCAGTTCATGATGATTTAAAAGTTAGTATGTTAAAAAATTGTCTTCCCCTAAATGTGTTCTATTATTTTGAAACTTCCCGCGTGTTAAAAAAATTATTTAGCTTTTAAAAATTTTTATAGTATATAAAATTATTCGAACAGGAAAATTCATAAGACCATATTTTTAGATTGATCAAAATATTTCAACAATCTTGTTACATATTATATATTTATGTGCCTGTTAATTTTTAAAAAAATATAGTGCCAAATTTTACTTGGAATATGGTTAATCTCTTAAGTATATACATATAATTTTATTTGTTTCTATTAATAACATTTCTTAGCTATAGTAAAATATATAATTTAAAGTTATTATACATTTGATATTCTATTAAATTTTCTAACATGTAAAAAAAACGTTTTGGTTTAAAAATCGTGAAAATAATTGGTTGTCTTGAGAGTTTGTCATTCATTTTATTCGCAATTCACTCCATTCTTTTAATACATTTACTTTAAATGAATTTTATTCAATTCATGTAGACCTATAGAAAAATAACGCGAATTAAAAATTAAAAGTAGATAACATTTTTTAATCAATCATGTAATCATTAAAAAAAATAAAATCTGGTGTTTAACATATTATAAACTTAAAAAAATTGAGTATTTTAACCTTAAATATTAAAATAAGTATAAAAAGTCTCGAGAAATAGCTTTTTATATATATATATTTTTTTTTATGATATAGTGAACAAGTTTTTTTATTTAAAGTACACTTAGATCTGGTAGAATGCATTCTGAGTTTATTTATTAGGATTGGAGTGGGTCATGGATTTGAAGGTATGACAACCTCTTTATTTTAACTGAAGACACATAAAAACCAAATAAGTAAATTTATGGTCGAATTATATAATTTTACATTATATGTAATTCATAATATTACCATTATTGTTGTTTTATTTTTAAGCCCATATAATAATTTTTATTAACATTTTTACATGACTCCCACATGTAAAAGCTATTTTTTATAAATACTTCTTAGTTTTTAATTCATTACTTATTATTGTTATATTATATTTCTATTCAATTAATAAAATATGAAATTATTCAAGTAAATTCGCATAAATTTATATAGATAAATTTATAAATTACAACATTCATTTATTTATTTAAATGTTGATCTGTAACAACAATATATGTTATTTTTCCTAATTTTATGGGGTGATTTTGTTTATAGTGCATCAAAATATTTATTACTTGATTCAATTTTTTTATTTAATTTAAAATATATATTTTCTTTCTACAGTTTTTGGTATTAATTACTAATCTGTCATTTTTTACGTAAATCCTATTTCTGTTTTAATATTTTAAAATATAATTCTTATTTTAGAATAATTTTAAAATTAAATGATTTTGAATATTTAATTTATTTTTGTTTTTTTCATTTTAGGCTATTGAATATGAAGCTTAATTTTTAATGATTATTTAAAAGTTACTAAAGTCGATTAACTAAGAATTATGTTATATTTTTCAGTTTAGATGTTTATAATTTAAATAAGTTCAATTGATTCTGTGAATATTAACTGAACACTTAAATATCTCAATATTATTAAAATTTACATGGCAAATTTATTGTTTTGTGTATTATAATTCGATTTTCGACAATCTTATTTATCAATTATATATTTGTACATCAGAATAATGCAATAATGTAAATGTTTTCGAATGTTTATTATTTTTTTTTAATAAGCTTGTATCAAATAATTTCACATTGTTTTCAATTGAAAATTTTAGTATAAAGTATATAAATTTATATTTATTTTTTTATCAAATTTTATGAATATTATTTTGAATTATTTTGTAAATTAGGGTTTAACCAATCAATTGCTAACAATGTTAGGACTCATGACGAATGTATAAATAAAAATCTCTAAAATTATATTTGCTTTATCACAAAATATAAGATGAAGTTGATGTTTTTTAATAATTTTAATACGAACNCTAAAATTATATTTGCTTTATCACAAAATATAAGATGAAGTTGATGTTTTTTAATAATTTTAATACGAACATATTTTGCCAGAATACATTTTTTTGACTTTGTATTTCGACATTTTTTTTAATTGTTTTTTATATGCATGTAAAAAATTATATTTGTATATGTTTATTGTATATGTTCGTTATATATTTGAAAATGAATAAAATATTAATTATTACTTAATATCTTTCTTAAAAAAAAAAAATTAAATTATTTGATATTTTTGTTTAATATGCCTCATATAATATTATTTAGAGTAAGAGGAATCAAAATAATAAAAAATATATTTGATATAAATGAATTTGAAAGTTGAAAAATGTTTTAAGCATCGATGCGAAACTGAGAAGATATTAATTTTACTATGCGTCTTTTTTTTTTTTACTATTACCACTTTTTCTCAGCTCTCACCGAACGGATTTTTTTCAACGATACGTCAAAAGATCACAAATCGTATCTAGTCGAAGACATTATCCTCATAAATTGAAAAAATATGCCTCGTTCCCATTAAATGGGGGGAATCTCCAAAAATATTACAAATCATAAATCATTTTATAAATCATAAAACATGTAATCAGGATATAAATAAGGAAATAGAAGATCGTGTAGCCTGTGTAATAATCCACCATTTTTTTAAAATTAAATACTAGCTACAAATTTGCATCGAAGCGTTTTTTATGATAGTGATTTTAATCACTGTCAGATATCATTATACTTGACCCAACTATGCCACATCCCCACTGTGCCGCTACCCCACTGAGCTGGGTTTTCTAAGTTTTGTTTTTATTTAACACATTTCATCTTAAAAGTGTACAATTTATAAATTTAAAATTATATTGTTATTAAAAATGTTCATAGATTGTTTCATTGATACAATTTTCTTAGTATTTTTTTAGTTAAAATTTATTATTTTAAAAAGTAACAAAAGAAATTTTTAATTTATAGTAAAAATTGAACAATTGTGTAATTTTAAAATAATACAAATTTATTCATAATTAATTCCATTGTTTTTTTAAATATTTTTATTCGTTGTTTGGTAAAATCAATATTTATATAATAATATTTGTCTAAAATTAAAATTATAATCACCTAATTTACATCGTTAAGTCAATGTTTAAAATTATGCAAAAGAGGTTTCAATAAAAATATTAAATTAATTATAGAAAATTATAAAATTTATAAAGATAGGATACATAATTGTAGGTAAAAATAATATAATAAAATTAGTTTTATACGAATATTAGGAATTTTTTCTTCTTAGGCGTTATATGAATCATTTGTTTCTGCCATAAAAAAAAACCTGTAAAAAATTAATTATAATCAAATATTTTTAACATTTTTTTTAAGTTTAATTATATAGCAATTATCCACAGAATCAAACTTAAAATAAGTTTATAAATAAATAATAAATTAGTAATTAATAAATAAATTTCATTAATTTTTTTGAGACTAAAAACTGATTAAAAATATTAGAGTTAAACGATTGAGCTGTTGTATATAGCTCTAACTATTATATATATATATATATAACTATAATAACCAACTGTATGTATAAAACTGCTTGTAGTATTTTAGTTCACTTTATGTGCCTTAATACTATATAAGATAAAAGTTGTTAAACGTTTCAAAACATTTACTAAAATTGAAAATAAAAATTATTTGAATTTTAGTTCAAACTCTTCCTGTACGTATGCTTTAAATTAGATTTTTGTCACTAGTATTGTTAATACTATAGAATTTTTTCATTTTATTAATTTTCATTTTGATATTCCACTCAAATCATTAATAAATATTTGTTTTCTAGAAAATTCTTTATAGTGATAATGTAAAAAATATTTATTATTAATAAACACAAAAATTTTAACTAATCATTTAATGTTGAAATTGGAATGTTCCAGTATATGAACAGTTCATGAAAAATTAATGTTTATAATAAAAATTGCGATGATCCAGTAGGTTAACATTTTTTTTTTTTGTTATGAAAACTATTAACAACATCTTGCTACAATCAGATTAGAAAATTAATTAATTAAAAAATCAATAGTGTTCGTTACTGGTAATGTTACTGGTAATGTTACTCTATGTTCTTTTATGGTTGATATTTGTCTGACTTTTGAAAATTGAGGCAGATTGATACAAATATTTCTTTAGAAAAAATAATTAATATATATATTTATTTTTTAATATTTATATATTTAAGATAAATCATAAAAAAGGGCTTTAAATTCTTTAAGTTTTTCCTACTTCAAATAAGAATATGTGCAAGGAATTTACCATTGAAAGAGCTATTAATTTGACATGTTTGCTCTGTTTTAAAGTGGTACTTACAATTATCATTTTCGATCCCCTTCAGTGGTGCTTGTGTATTTATAAAATTTATGAGATTTTGTATCTCTTGTGTGCTTAAAGGGGGCTTGATTTCTTTCAATTAAAGGTACTGGACATGGTCCAGTCACTCTTGGCTTGTATTCGTTTTTATAGTGGCTAATATTTGACGTTATTGATGTGTCACCGAGAGTAATGTGTGATCTATTAGATGACTTAGTAACTCTTTCATGTCTATGCATTGAACTAAGACTATTGCGATTGTCTTGAGCAATTGAAACAAAACCAGAATCCAAAGTGTTAATACTTTTTCTTTGTGCGGCTGCAGCTGTTGAGGTAGTATGCGGTGCTTCAATAATGGTAACATCACCTTTACGATGTAAAACAGAATTACTTAAATCAGTATTTGAGCTTATAACTGATTTTCGGTGATGAGATTCATCACTATAGTTTTTTCTATCCATTACAACAGTATCAAGATTGAGTACATTAGAAGTAGTACTGTGAAGGGACTTTCTATAAGTTGCTGTCGAGTAATTTTTAATTTCATTCGTTTGTTTTGAAGTATGGCTCGATTTCTTATGAGATATATTTGAATCATACATACTCTCTCTAGAATCAGTGTGGCTATGGTTTAGATAATTTTTGTTGAGCAAACCATCGGCAGTTGATAACTGATAATCATTTGTGTTATATTCATATGTTTTAGTTCCTTTATTTTTATTTTCATCATTTGACTCAGACTTAAATATTTGTCTATTTATTTGATCTTGAGTTGATTCTTTTGATATACGTGATATAGACATGAAACGGTCATTCTGTGATTTTAAATCAGATCTCAAATCTGATTTTAAATCAATTACAAAACTTTCAGGGCGACGAATTGGACTTTTGTTATTTGATATTTGAGAAACTGAAGCATTCAAATTTGATTCAACCTGACTTTGTTGACTGATATTATCTAATGAAGAACTTGAATTTTGTTGAGTTGACAAAGCTGAATTTTGAGTACTACTTATATCATATAACCTAGATTGTTTATTACTTTGTTCAGTATTTTTTTTCAGTGTATATTTACTTTTTTCTAAATCATTATTTCGTATTTGAGTCGTTGCGTCACTTTCATTCTTTGATGATGAAGCTTGCTCATTTATTAATCTTGTAGATTTTTGAGTATGGCTTTGTGTGGCTTGATGGTGACTATGATAAAAATGATGATTTGTTGTGTCCTCAGCATATCTGTTATCACCTATTTTATGTGTATATTGTTTAGATGATGTTATTTTCCCTGATAAATCTAAATTATTCACTGAACTTCTTAAATAATCTCTTTTTTGTGTTGTCTCCCACTTTTTCCTTTCGACTTTTTCATTGTGCTCATCAGATTTTAAACTTTTTCTAAAAGACATATCAGATGATTGTTTAAATTCCAGATTATCAACTCCAAATTTCGTATGATCTTGTTTAACTAAACGATTATGTGATGTATTACTGTCATTTTTTAAGTCAGATAAAATTTGAGAGCGACCATGCAAACTACTATTAATTATTTGTTGATTATTAACAAGGGTGTTTGCAGCTGCCTCAATTCTAGAAGAATGAATATTTTGTTGAGAATTAGAAAGCTGAATTTGATTTATTTTACTTTCTGCATGAATGTTTTTATGTTCATAATGCATATTTCCTTCAAGTTTTAAATTATCAACATGTTTTCTAATAATTGCTTGTTCTAACTTTCTTGTAGAATACATGTTCTCTCTTTTTACAAAATCACCTTCCATGCGTAAATTATCTAGTGGTTTAATTACATGAGGACGTTCAACACATTTTACATTTTGTACAACACGTCTTTCAAATTCTCCTTCTAGTTTTAGATTATCTAGATGTCTCACTTGCTTCGGACGCTCAGCTGGACTGTATCCATTACGTGAAGGTCGTTCAAAATCACCCTCTGGTTTTAAATTATCCTTTGGTTTGACTATTGGAGCTCTTTCACCAGGACCAACTTTTTCGGGTACTCTTTTTGCAAAATCGCCCTCTGGTTTTAAATTATCTGGATGTCTTACTTGCTTCGGACGCTCAGCTGGACTGTATCCATTACGTGAAGGTCGTTCAAAATCACCCTCTGGTTTTAAATTATCCTTTGGTTTGACTATTGGAGCTCTTTCACCAGGACCAACTTTTTCGGGTACTCTTTTTGCAAAATCGCCCTCTGGTTTTAAATTATCTGGATGTCTTACTTGCTTCGGACGCTCAGCTGGACTGTATCCATTACGTGAAGGTCGTTCAAAATCACCCTCTGGTTTTAAATTATCCTTTGGTTTGACTATTGGAGCTCTTTCACCAGGACCAACTTTTTCGGGTACTCTTTTTGCAAAATCGCCCTCTGGTTTTAAATTATCTGGATGTCTTACTTGCTTCGGACGTTCAGCTGGACTGTATCCATTACGTGAAGGTCGTTCAAAATCACCCTCTGGTTTTAAATTATCCTTTGGTTTGACTACTGGAGCTCTTTCACCAGGACCAACTTTTTCGGGTACTCTTTTTGCAAAATCGCCCTCTGGTTTTAAATTATCTGGATGTCTTACTTGCTTCGGACGTTCAGCTGGACTGTATCCATTACGTGAAGGTCGTTCAAAATCACCCTCAGGTTTTAAATTGTCCTTTGGTTTGACTACTGGAGCTCTTTCACCAGGACCAACTTTTTCGAGTACTCTTTTTGCAAAATCGCCCTCTGTTTTTAAATTATCTGGATGTCTTACTTGCTTTGGACGTTCAGCTGGACTGTATCCATTACGTGAAGGTCGTTCAAAATCACCCTCTGGTTTTAAATTGTCCTTTGGTTTTACTACTGGAGCTCTTTCTCCGGATACTACTTCTTGAACGAATCTTTTAGCGAATTTTCCTTCAAGTTTAAGGTTATCATGATGTTTTATAACGTTTACTTCTTGTTTAATATTATGTTGAACAAAATCATTTTTATAATTCATATCAACAAATTTACCTTCAATTTTTAGGTTATCACTATGATGAACTAAATTTCTTCGCTCACCGTGCTTAAAAGAATAATCCATACGTCTATTCATATCAATTAACTCTCCATCTAAACTTAAATTGTCAGATCTACGAATTATTTTTTGATGTTCAACTCTTTTAAAATCGTAATCATCCTTCCGACACATATAATGTTCTCCAACTATATCTAAATTATCTTTTGGTTTCACCACTGGTGCACGATCACCGGGACCAACTGTCTCTTTAATACGTTGTGGGAATTCGCCTTCTGGTTTCAAATTATCTGTAGGTTTGAATGGTGTTGGGCGTTCACTAGGTTTGAATTTTTCATAAACAGGACGTTCAAATTCGCCTTCGGGTTTCAAGTTGTCAAACGGTTTTATTTGTTTTGGTCTTTCTGCAGGTGAATATTCAGGCAATTCAGGTCTTTCGAATTTACCTTCAGGATATAAGTTATCTTGTGGTTTCACTTGTTTTGGTCTTTCTGCAGGCTGGAATTCTTCGGGTTGTGGTCGTTGGAAATCTCCTTCTGGGAACAAATTATCCTTTGGTTTCACCACTGGTGCACGATCACCGGGACCAACTGTCTCTTTAATACGTTGTGGGAATTCGCCTTCTGGTTTCAAATTATCTGTAGGTTTGAATGGTGTTGGGCGTTCACTTGGTTTGAATTTTTCATAAACAGGACGTTCAAATTCGCCTTCGGGTTTCAAGTTATCTTGAGGTTTCACTTGTTTTGGTCTTTCTGCAGGCTGGAATTCTTCGGGTTGTGGTCGTTGGAAATCTCCTTCTGGGAACAAATTATCCTTTGGTTTCACCACTGGTGCACGATCACCGGGACCAACTGTCTCTTTAATACGTTGTGGGAATTCGCCTTCTGGTTTCAAATTATCTGTAGGTTTGAATGGTGTTGGGCGTTCACTAGGTTTGAATTTTTCATAAACAGGACGTTCAAATTCGCCTTCGGGTTTCAAGTTGTCAAACGGTTTTATTTGTTTTGGTCTTTCTGCAGGTGAATATTCAGGCAATTCAGGTCTTTCGAATTTACCTTCAGGATATAAGTTATCTTGTGGTTTCACTTGTTTTGGTCTTTCTGCAGGCTGGAATTCTTCGGGTTGTGGTCGTTGGAAATCTCCTTCTGGGAACAAATTATCCTTTGGTTTCACCACTGGTGCACGATCACCGGGACCAACTGTCTCTTTAATACGTTGTGGGAATTCGCCTTCTGGTTTCAAATTATCTGTAGGTTTGAATGGTGTTGGGCGTTCACTAGGTTTGAATTTTTCATAAACAGGACGTTCAAATTCGCCTTCGGGTTTCAAGTTGTCAAACGGTTTTATTTGTTTTGGTCTTTCTGCAGGTGAATATTCAGGCAATTCAGGTCTTTCGAATTTACCTTCAGGATATAAGTTATCTTGTGGTTTCACTTGTTTTGGTCTTTCTGCAGGCTGGAATTCTTCGGGTTGTGGTCGTTGGAAATCTCCTTCTGGGAACAAATTATCCTTTGGTTTCACCACTGGTGCACGATCACCGGGACCAACTGTCTCTTTAATACGTTGTGGGAATTCGCCTTCTGGTTTCAAATTATCTGTAGGTTTGAATGGTGTTGGGCGTTCACTAGGTTTGAATTTTTCATAAACAGGACGTTCAAATTCGCCTTCGGGTTTCAAGTTGTCAAACGGTTTTATTTGTTTTGGTCTTTCTGCAGGTGAATATTCAGGCAATTCAGGTCTTTCGAATTTACCTTCAGGATATAAGTTATCTTGTGGTTTCACTTGTTTTGGTCTTTCTGCAGGCTGGAATTCTTCGGGTTGTGGTCGTTGGAAATCTCCTTCTGGGAACAAATTATCCTTTGGTTTCACCACTGGTGCACGATCACCGGGACCAACTGTCTCTTTAATACGTTGTGGGAATTCGCCTTCTGGTTTCAAATTATCTGTAGGTTTGAATGGTGTTGGGCGTTCACTAGGTTTGAATTTTTCATAAACAGGACGTTCAAATTCGCCTTCGGGTTTCAAGTTGTCAAACGGTTTTATTTGTTTTGGTCTTTCTGCAGGTGAATATTCAGGCAATTCAGGTCTTTCGAATTTACCTTCAGGATATAAGTTATCTTGTGGTTTCACTTGTTTTGGTCTTTCTGCAGGCTGGAATTCTTCGGGTTGTGGTCGTTGGAAATCTCCTTCTGGGAACAAATTATCCTTTGGTTTCACCACTGGTGCACGATCACCGGGACCAACTGTCTCTTTAATACGTTGTGGGAATTCGCCTTCTGGTTTCAAATTATCTGTAGGTTTGAATGGTGTTGGGCGTTCACTAGGTTTGAATTTTTCATAAACAGGACGTTCAAATTCGCCTTCGGGTTTCAAGTTGTCAAACGGTTTTATTTGTTTTGGTCTTTCTGCAGGTGAATATTCAGGCAATTCAGGTCTTTCGAATTTACCTTCAGGATATAAGTTATCTTGTGGTTTCACTTGTTTTGGTCTTTCTGCAGGCTGGAATTCTTCGGGTTGTGGTCGTTGGAAATCTCCTTCTGGGAACAAATTATCCTTTGGTTTCACCACTGGTGCACGATCACCGGGACCAACTGTCTCTTTAATACGTTGTGGGAATTCGCCTTCTGGTTTCAAATTATCTGTAGGTTTGAATGGTGTTGGGCGTTCACTAGGTTTGAATTTTTCATAAACAGGACGTTCAAATTCGCCTTCGGGTTTCAAGTTGTCAAACGGTTTTATTTGTTTTGGTCTTTCTGCAGGTGAATATTCAGGCAATTCAGGTCTTTCGAATTTACCTTCAGGATATAAGTTATCTTGTGGTTTCACTTGTTTTGGTCTTTCTGCAGGCTGGAATTCTTCTGGTTGTGGTCGTTGGAAATCGCCTTCTGGTTTTAAAGTATCTTTTGGTTTTATTAGTTTTCTCTTGTCTGTTTTTGGAGCTATTTTAGTCTGAGGCTTTTGGAAGTCACCTTCGAGTTTAAGGTTGTTCCTTGGTTTTATTTGTTTTGGTCTTTCTGCTGATCTATATTGTTCTTTTGTTGGCCTTTCAAAATCACCTTCAGATCTTAAATTGTCTTTAGGCTTTATTCGATTAGGTATTTCGGCTTTTACATTTTTATATTGTTCTTTTGAGTGTGTTGTATTATTCATCATTCCTTCCATTTTCAAGTTATCTGTGTGTTTTATTATTTCTTGGCGTATATCATATTTGTTGTGCTTTTTGAATATTTCTGAAGTGGTTGTTTGAAAAAATATTTCACCGTCTTGTTTTGTCCATGTGCGCCTTCTAACAGGTTTTTCTATGTTAGTGGATTTTGGTGTGAATTCAGAAGAAATTGAAGTTTCAAAATTCATTTGACCTTCGCAAACTAAATTATCACTGCATTTTTTTATAATATTTGTTTTTGTTATATTATGTCTTTGGTACGCTTCTTGAGATGATGTATTTGTATAAAATTCACCACTAGTAATATTTAATGTATCATTTTTTTTTTTACCTTTTTCTATTTTAATGATTGGTTGCTTCGGATACTCTTCTTTGTTTTTAGGAGACATCTGTAATAAATCATAATAATACGTATATAATATTCATTTATTTTTACTATAATATTTGTTTTTTTACCAAAATTTCTCCTTCTAATTTTGTCCAGGTATTTCTACGAATCATACGTGGTCTTTCGCTTGCTTCTCCGGTAAATTCAACTTTTTGTGTTGTAAGATCTACAATATAGAATTATTAGCTATAGTGATAAACTTGCAATATTCTGAATTGAGTTTTATGTTATATTTAACATATCCAATATAATAAATAATAATTGAGTATACAGGGTGATTTTTTTATCATAACCCACTCAATTACTTACAGAATAATAATAATTAAAAAAATTTGTTTTATTACTATCTTTAGTTACACATTATTCTTGAATTATTAACTATGTAATACTTTTTAAGATCATCCCTTATGCCTGGTAAGGGTGTCAACTTTGTTTTTTTAAATGGTAACACATATTTTGAATTTAATAAAATGTTTGAGTTTTCAATTCAATAACAAATGTCATTTGAATTTTTAATATAACTTTATTCGTTTATTAGATATAAACATTTAAAGTTTCAATTTTTTGAGTTAATATACATGTATAATACACTAGGGATTACAAATACAGGTAGCTAATTGATTTTTTGACATCGATATTAGCAGGTACAAAGCATTGTTATTATCAATGGTAGTAAGACACATTGTTGTGAGTTTATAAATACACTAACTGACAATACAGAATGTATATCTATTGATAGTCATAATTGATAATAAACAATCCGTGACTATGATAGCAATATCATAAAAAATCAATTAGCTACCTGTATTTGTAATCCCTTGTGTATTATACCTATATATTAACTCAAAAAATTGAAACTTTAAATGTTTATATCTAATAAACGAATAAAGTTATATTAAAAATTCAAATGACATTTGTTATTAAATTAAAAACTCAAACATTTTATTAAATTCAAAATATGTGTTACCATTTAAAAAAACAAAGTTGACACCCTTACCAGGCATAAGGGATGAACTTAAAAAGTATTACATAGTTAATAATTCAAGAATAATGTGTAACTAAAGATAATAATAAAAAAAAAATTTTTAATTATTATTATTCTGTAAGTAATTGAGTGGGTTATGATAAAAAAATCACCCTGTATACCAAAAATACATTACATATCAGTTATATTTTGATATTTAAAAACGAGACTTGATGAAATTTCTAGAAAATTATAATATAACTAATTATAAGATATATCCTGTTAAAGTAAAAAATAAAATATACTGATAACTGTAATTCTGCAATTATATTAAGCAATACAAATAAAATTAATTAAAAAATATGTTCATAGGTTTGAATCAGAATGTTTTATTAGTTTAAAAACATTTATTAAAACAATGTTTAAATATAATAATGACACTTAGTTATCATTTACAGGAAATCGGATTGAATAATAACTTTAAAAAAAACTAGGAATATTTATTTTATTTTATTATAAAGGGATACTTGGGCTTTTAAACTTATTTATGATTAAAACAATAATTTTTCATATAAAAGTAAAGATATACTTTAAACTGACCTTTTATAATTTTATTCAAAAAGTAAATTCTTATTAATGTTCAGCAAATAATCAAAGTATAAAATAAAATAAAATAAAATGTTGAATAGAGAAACAATATTAGGATACAGGTATACTTAATGAATGATTTTCACTCAATTTTTTAAATAATGGTTATATTACATATATTGTTTATGAAGAAAAGTAAAAAAGTTAAGAGTTGTAGATAGACGTGCTAGTAAAGCCAACGGAATTTTTAAAAATAAAATAATTTTTAAAGTTAACAACGGGCATTTTTTTAAATTTGAAAAATATTTTTAAATGTTACATTAATATTTAAAATAACAACTTTTTAAATGCAAAAACGTAAAGTATAATTGTAAAAATTGTTTTAACCATATCACTAAATAAAAAAGTATTAAATGTTATAAAATTTATAACATAAAACGAAACGTTTCTAAAGGGGCCATGTACCCTCCATTTACAGCTATTTCCATTTTCAACTTTCTAAAATGAGCAAAAAAAAAAGTTCATAATAATAATCATACTAAACTATTCAATAAGAATTTGTACTGCAAGAACATGTCATTTACTTAAATAATTTTTTTTAGCTTCGATGCGAAGCGGAGAAGGTATTAATTTTACTATGATGTGTTTTTTTTTTTTTTTATGTCTGTTGCCACTTTTTCTCAGCTCTCATTGGACCGATTTCTTTCAAAAATACATCAAAAGATCACAAATCGTATCTAGTTGAAGACATTACCCTTAAAAATTGAAAAAAATTCCCTCGTTCCCCGCAAATGGGGGAAATATCCAAAAAAATTACAAATTTAAAAATCGCTAATTTTCGAAATTTTTTCACTTTTTTTTCTTAAAACTTCCATAACTTTTTGAAAAATCAACAAATCAACATAATTTTTTTTTATACTAAAACCTTAGATATTTACCTTTCATTTGATATCATTTTTTTGAAAATCTATCACTTAACCTGCTCATTGGGGGGGATTTAAAATGGCAACTTTTTTACAAAAATTAATTTTTTCAACTTAATTTTTGAAAATGTTCCGGAAAGACTGCGTCCTTTAAACATATATCAAATTAAAGCTTATTTTATGTACTACAAAATGAAAAAAAAAAATTTGTCCCGACACTTTTTTTTCTACATTTAAACGGCTGCCGTAGTTAAAAAAACACTATTTTTGTGTTAAAATTTTCGATTTTCGATTTTAAATTTTCAACTTAAAAATGCTATAACTTTTTGAAAAATGTATATATCAGCACAAATTTTTTTTTTCTAAATACATTATAAGTACATCTTTCATTTGACATACTTTTTATTAAAATTGGACAATTTCCCCTTATATAGGGGGCGTTCAAAACTTAAAATATTGTAAAAAACATAGATCTTTTTCAACTGAACTTTTGAAAATGTTCCGGAAATACTGCGTCCTTTAAACATATATCAAATCAAAGGTTATGTTATATACTATCAAATGAAAAAAAAAAATTTGTCCCGACATCTTATCTTCTATGTGCAAATGGCTGTCGAAAATTTAAAAAAAAATGTAATGTTTGCGATAAAAATTACATTTTATCGGGATGTTTTTTGTACTTAAAACTGCCATAACTTTTTCAAAAATGAACAAATAAAAATAATATTTTTTTGTATTGAAACCTTAGATATTTCCCTTTCATTTGATATAATTTTTTTTGAAAATCTAACACTTATTCTGCTCACTGGGAGGATTTAAAATAGTAACTTTTTTACAAAAAATAACTTTTTCAACTTAATTTTTGAAAATGTTCCGGAAATACTGCGTCCTTTAAACATATATAAAATTAAAGCTTATTTTATGTACTACAAAATGAAAAAAAAAAATTTGTCCCGACGATCTATCTTCTATACGCAAATGGCTACCATATTGAAAAATATACTATTTTTGTATGATAATTATGGGTTTTGTATTTTATTTTAATAGAAGTTGATGTTGCTTTTGCAATTATCCATCAATTTTTTAAAATTAAACACTATCTACAGATTTGCATCGAAGCGTTTCTTATGATAGTGATTTTAATCACTGTCAGATTAAATCTAGACTGAACCCAACTATGCAATGTCTCCACTATGCCGCGACCCCACTGTGCTACCGTTTTTTTTATAAATTTAAATTCTGCTTTCGTAGTGTTATTATAGTAAAAGTCTCTGCATATTAAATAATGACATAATTAATATATATAATAGTATTATATAAATAATTATTAGATTATAAACAAATTCAAAAATGTTTTAATGTTGTAGAAGCAAGGAAATGTGTAAATTGTGTTTAAAATCAGTGATTACCTTTAAAGAATAAATGAATAATTTAAGAAAAAAATTTTTTTTTAATTTAATTTTATTAAAATTGCTTTAATAAATTAAAGACTAACCAAACACTGAAAATAGCGTAGGTAATTTATGAATTAATATAATATATCAATTGACGATATTAAACTTGTATGTAAGTACTCATTTATATAGTAGAAATATCTATTATTAAAATAAAAACTTCGTAAAGGTTCAAAAATAAATTATAAGCCTACAATAATAATTATAAAAAAATTTAAATATATCCAATTTTTAATTTTTGGAAAAATGTACCCCTATAAAGAAAATTATATATTGAATAATTAATTTTTCAAAAAAAAATCTGTAAGTGTATCAATGCAGTATTATTGAAAATGACGATTTATGAATTTTAAGAAAAATTGTTTGTTAAAATTAAGTATTCTCATTAAATTTTAGTTATATACTACTATATATTACGAAAAAGTTTCAATTTATCAATGTTTAATTGCGTTTAAAACTATTATTCATTTATCAAGGTACAAAAAATGTAGACTCATTTACATATTTCTTTTAGATCTTTATTCTTCAAATAATGTGTTAATTTCATACAAAAATTTTACTTTCAATAAAAACTTATTTAGTAGTTTAATAATTAATAATTAATATAATAGATACCTGTGAACTCTCCACCAATTACTAGTTGATCTTCATGGCGTCGTATTTCTGCTCTTTCTCCTTTTGCAACTATTGTTATTGCTCTTTCACCATAGAATACCCCTTCAGGCTTTAAATTATCTGAATGTTTTTTAATTGGAGCTCTATCTCCAGGAGCATAAATACTTGGACTTGGTTTTTCAAATTCCCCTTCAGGTTTTAAGTTATCTGGATGTTTAACTATAGGCGCGCGTTCACCGGGGCCATATTGAGGTTTTAATGGCCTATCGAACTGTCCCTCAGGACGTAAATTATCTTTCGGTTTGATAGGCAATGGTCGATCTGCTGACTGAACTTTAGTTGGTATTGGTCGATTAAAGTCACCTTCTGGTTTCAAATTATCGTTTGGTTTTATTAGTTTGGGACGTTCAACTGTTTCGACTTTAGGTCGTATGGGTCTTTCAAACTCTCCTTCGGGTTTTAAGTTATCCTGTGGTTTATAAGGTAAGAATCGGTCGCCAGGAACTCCTGGAAAATCTTGATGCTTTTTTGGCAAATAGTCGCCTTCAAGGTGTATTTGATCTATTAATTTATACCTGTAAATATATTTTATAATAGTTTTATCTTTTGATAAATCTTTATTATTATATTGATTGATATTTTTTTTTTTACAAATTCTAATCTAGAAGTCATCAATAGGCGGTAAATACGACCTGTTGATTCAAAATTAATGACCCTCCAATAATATTTTAATTTAATGTTTCTTTTTGATGATACATTTTATTACATATACAGGGTGTTCAGTAAGTAAGGGAACTGATTTCTTTTGTTTTCATTGTTTATAACAATTTATCTGTTCACTTATTTACTGGACACTATATAACATACATTAAGTTTATATTATAATGAATTCACAGACAACTATTATTTTTTTAGCAAAACATTTTTTGATGCGTTTTGACCCGTTTAAAAACGGATCAATTTCCCGACCCCCTTTAAATCTGTAGCTGATATTTAATAAATAAAAAACTAACCTTAACTGACGTTCAGCGTGTTTTTTGTCAAATTCTGTACGATAAGCTGTTTTATTTTCAATTATCCCTTCATTTAATGTTAACTCTGTATTAAGTCTATGTAATGTGGGCCTATCAATAAGATCTAAAGGGATTGGTTGGTATTCTTCTTTAGTAGTGGATAATTTTGGTATAGTTGATGATTCCAAACTTAACAGAGGTCCATCTGTTCCCGGAGTATGTGAACAGCGGTGACGGCTATAATGATTTAAATTAAATATATCAGTTTAAAATCATTAATATTTTTTAATTTAAAAAAAAATAGTTCAGTATATTAAATTTAAATGTATAACCAACCAAATACAAACTAAATGTACTGAAATATTATATTTAATTCTTGCATAATTTTTTCATACTTTATTTAAGAATATAATAGATTAAATCTTAATAAAATAAAATCAATAAAGAACTGAACCACTTACACCAATTGTACGTACTGTTACTGTTCTACTGAACTACTAAAGTTTTCACTATTAAAACCGTAAAGACATAATATATTAAATAATAACTAAATATAATGCTTGATATTTTTCACAATCAACAACAATTGATGTGTATATACATATACATGGATATATGTAGTCTTGAAAATTATTTTATATGTTAGATTTAGTGTTATCCATAAGTACTTTTCGTCTTCTTAGTATGAAAAGATTCAATTACAAATTTTTACGTTTTTTAATAGAACATTAGGAAATTGTTTTCAATAGAAAATAACATAAGCTATATAGTTAAAAATTTTATACGTTGTTTCAATGTATCTTAGAGAAAAATGAGTGCAATAAAAGCTTATTAACAAGTCCAAAAGAAAAATATTGCAAAATTAATACCTTCTAAGATTCAGATCAAAGCTAAAAATATACTTCTTTTTTGATTTTCAGACGGGTTTATTTTAAAATGGTGAGTTATCGTCTCCTAAGTATGATAAATTAATTAACCCATGTATAAAATACGTTGTCAAATTATAATTAAGTTATCACTCTAAGATATGTGAAATTCCAAAGACTTCACCGAAAAAGTTTCAAGACCTAAGTGAGGTTAGTGCATACAAAATTACAAAAATGCCTTCATGTATACGTTACCTATTACGTTATCTATTAGACATTATTATTTTTAACACTTTCTTGTAAAGTTATTTTAAATTTATGTTTATATTGAGATTGTTTTAAATTTTGTGTAATCTCACTTATTATATTCAAATACATAAATAGAGTGCAAGTTAAATAGCTTTCTATTGTGATATAGTTTTTAAGTCTTCTAAAAAGCACATTTATATAAATTTACTTTCACTTTTAAACATAAAATTTGACATTACATCTATTTCAGTTAACTTATGAAAAAATAACTGGAGTAGGAGATAATAAATTGTTATATTAAATAACTTATAACTTGATAACTTTTTACTAATAAGAAAATAAACAATTTATGCACAAAAATAGTATATTTTTAATTCTGTGGTCGATTTCACGAGGGAAAAAGTTCTGGAAATAATTTTAGCTTTATTTCATAGCTGAGAAAGTATTCATAATGATTTGTTTTTTATAGAATTTTCCGAAAAAATTCTCAACTCACATTGGACCGATTTTAATGGTTAATGCACCAAAAGAAACAGACTTTAATTTAGATAAACCTATCAGTGTCAGACTAAATTAGATTAAAAAAATATCTTAAAATTACAATTGTGTAAAAAATGTCATTTTCAAAAAGAATTGTCTGCATTATAACTACTATAACTTTGTTTTAAAAACACTGATCCTAATGAAATTTTAATAAAGTATACTAAAAACAAAATCCTATGAAAAATTTGAATACAGAATAAAAAAAACCACCCACGCATATAAACAAATTTTCAACGCAAATTCGAAAGTGTTCTGTAAGGTCTAACAACCTATATCAAATTAAAGCACATTAAGTATACTAAATATATTAAAAACAAAAAAGGGATATAAAATTGTTGTGTCTATTGAAGTATATAGCTAGTGTTTTCTAGTAAATTACGTATTTAAAAATAACAGTTTTTGTAAATAAACTTTTTAAAAGTCAAAATCTGTAGAAAATGAGAATAGACATCTAAAATAACTTTAATAAATGCAAATATTTATGAAATCTTAATATTACTACTTTTTTTTTATATAAAAGTTAAACAATTTTGTTAAACTATAAATAATACTACTGTTGTAAAATATCTAGTTTGGAAATTGTAAATTTACTATGATATACAACAGGAAAGCATTATTTATAAAATGCATACTAATAAGGTTTCATTTTCAAACGATAGTAATATGCATGTCTTTACAAATCATTGTTTTCATGTTTTATGATTGTTTCAACATCTAAATAGCACTCAACAGTTTTCTAAAAAAATATAGGTGAGGCGATGAATCACATTATTAAAATAGCCTTGGTATAACAATAGTCATGCACTAAACTGTTAAAATATAATTTTAACATTTCATTCTTTGAATAAAATAAAATTAATGTTTATAATAGATTATAGCTAGTCAATAATTTTTAAATTTAATTTACATCGAAATTATATCAAGTATGCTTAGTATTTTTTTCAAATATATATTTTTTGCCGAACACTTCTATATTGTAAATAAGAATATTTTTTCAATATGAAAATTAATTATTTAAATAGTAAACAAATAATTTAAGTAAATAAACTCCTCATTAGAAGTTATATTCGATTACTTTATACTATACTTCAAAAATATAATTTTAGTTATATAAACATATTAAAAAGTTAATTTTGTTTATACAATAAAAAAAAAAAAGATATCACAGTATAGATGTTATCTGACAGTGATTTTATTCACTGTCATAAGAAACGCTTCGAAGCAAATTTTTAAATAGTGTTTAATAATTCTAAGAAATTTGTGCATAATTTCAAAAGCAACATCAACTTCTATTTCCTAAATTATATCCTAATTAGTCTTAGATTTAAAAGTATATTTTATTAATAAATATTTTTATAGCAACTAAATGTAGTATGAAATTGATATTTAACAATTTAATATTGAAATTTTTACAGAAAAATAATAAAAAATGATAAAGTAATATATTATGTTACTTCTATGATAAATATGTATGAAAATTAAAGGGTTACAATTTAGATACATTATAAAAATTTTTACTTTAAATCTTTTACTAGTAAATGACTATTTACTGTAAATTTATAAGAAAAGTAAAAATATACAAAATGATAGGTAAATATCTCACGTATCTATAAAAAAATTATATTGATTTGATCATTTTTAAAAAAGTTATGGCAGTTTTGAGTTAGACAACTTGAAATAATGTCAAAGATTAGCGTTTTTTTTTATTTGTAATTTTTTTTGGAGATTTCCCTTATATACAGGGAACGAGGACAATTTTTACAATTTTTGAGGGTATTGTCTTTTCTCGTACTGTAAATGTGTGACATTATCGCTAGTGTAAATAAAAAATAATGAAAACACAAAAATTGGCTATTCTATACACAAAATTTGTATTTTTTGTTTAAATTTGAAGATAAGTAGTTTTTTTTTACTTAAAGTATATTACATAAGCTTTAATAAATTACAAATTTATAGTACGCAAGGTGTCCAAAATATTTTCAAAAATTAAGTAGAAAAATTTAATTTAGTATCGACATTTCTCTATTTTTAACCCTTATAGATAGGGAAGAGATCGGTTTTAATATGTTTAAAAAATATATTAAATTTTTAAAAATTTATAGCAAGTTATAATTATAAATTTGAAATTTAAATAAAATTTCGACCATCTTATATAAAAATTGTATAATTTTGTTATACAGGGTGGCCCATCACTCACTAACAACTTAAATAACTTTTGATCCAGTTAATATNATTTTTGATAGTGATTTTAATCACTGTCAGATATCATTATACTTGATCCAACTATACCACGTCACCACTGTGCCGCGACCCCCCTGTGCTGGGTTTGGTTTTTA